GTTTCGGTTATACATGCCAGGTCTGCCTCCTCATCTAATATTAAATCCCGGACGAGAGGTGCTTTGTTCACAACCGACCTGGCATTTAGCAACAATAACCTGAGACCAGGGCCCTGTACTCCTCTGCCACCAGGTCCTTGAGTTGAGCCTGAGGGGCCTGAACAAGCAATCGCTGTAATGTAGCGAGTCCTTCTTCCCTGGTAATTGCTAGCCCTACAGCTCCCACCATATCTGCCCCTCTCAGTCGTAACCGAAATGCTCCGACATCCCCCCATCCCCATAGACCCCCCCTCCCCCATGGCCCCCATTCTTCCCGGCAGGCCATGTATTCCATTCACACCAGGAAGGGAGGTGAGTCTGGGCCCCCATCCACTTCTGCTTCTGCACTCAGTGGAGGGGACTCCAGATCACACTCCCTGTCCTACCATACTCACCAATCAAACACTCTCTTCAGACACATCCCACAATAATTATTAAAATACAATAAATTAAATTAAAAGTGGGCACATTTTCTCTCACATTCATACACTCATACACCCAGCAAACCGGCTAAAAATGCTGTTCCTAAATAGATGGCAATTAAAATAATTTAAGAACGGTAAAAAATTGAATGTCCCAAAAGGGAAAGAGGGGGGAGGGGAGAGGAGGAGGGGGAGAGAGGGAGGAGGGAGGGGAACTGAACTGAGATGGAGGCAGATCTGCAACCTGGGTGCCTGGCCAGTCCCCCCATTGTTATCAGCCAAGCCTGGCACTTGGGAGAAACTAGCTTGAGAGGCAGCACTGAGGCTTCTGATGCTCCAAACAGAGAAGGAAGGGCGAGCTATCTCAAGGGGGGCTTCAGCGGTTCCGACGGTCTTGTCCCCAAAAAGTCCCTTAACTGCAGCAGGGGAACCTCCAAGCAGGGGGCGTTATTGGCCGCTTGGGGGAGAGCTCGGGTCAGTGTTTTCCGGGTCTCCAACTCCAGTACAGGGCTCTCCTCCGCTGCCTTCTAGGGTTTTAAGACCGTCCGTTTTTGGGTCTTTCTGCACTAGGCTATGGTGACCATAAGGCGAATGGTGACTTAACATAAGTACTATTAAAATTACACTAGGAGGTGGGAAGATGTGTGATTTCATGCATGCATTCTTGTTAGAGATGGCAAGTTTGGCTAGATGAAACATCGATGTTAAGACTATTCTTATGCTACACTAAACTAAAATATGGTTGAACTGTTTGTAGCTTAAGTATTGTAAAAACCCTGTCATTCTCCTGTGCACTGCTTGGAGATTCCAAGCATGGTTATCTTCTGTCTATTTAGCCAGAGACTGAGATGTAAAAGCTGTGGCCACACCTCCTCCTCTCAGCTGAGCCCAGTTTTTCTTCTCAATCTGGCTAGAGAGACATATTTCAGTTTATTGGGGGAATAAAGGTAACAGAGTTATTTTTGTAAATCATAATTCCATGAACCATAGATTAGCATGTTGTTTAAAGACAACCTGAAATATATTTCAAAAACCTTAATTATTTTCTTTACAGTAATGTAGATTTAGAAAAATGATTTCATTTTGGTAAATATGTTGCTAAATCTTGGTCCATATTATTTATGTAAGATAGACAAACCCATTTCAATTTCATTTAAAATGGATTATTCACTTACAGATAGGTGGATCTGACAAGGGTTAAGATGGTGAGTGTAATTGCACGATCAATGCTCCAATCTATTTTACATGCCTTTAGTAAGCAACACATATTAAAACCAAGTGGCGACATACTTATGCCACCATTCTTATCTTTTTAATCCTCCCTCCACCTCCTGTTAAAATGCTCCTCCTTACAATATATTGACATATCCCTTCATGAATGAATTTATTGCTACCAGATCTGGATGGTAACTATCCAGATGACTTGGATCACATCACATGGACAGAAAGATACACGGAATTCTCAGTCTTTGCTAAGTCTAACAGCCATCCAGAATTTTACAGCTCAGATCTGACAGACTGACTTGATATTTATTTATTTCAGTAAATGTCCAGAGAGGCAAATTTGTAAAGAAAGTTCAACCATTTTAGCAGCATTATTGAAAAATGGTAGCTAATCCACTGGATCAGAAATATATAATTAGAATCACCTCTAAAAGGTCTCATAAAAACAAGCTAGAAACCAATCTTAGTTAGTGCACTTTCAAATAAGTACTGTTAGCAACTTACGTTTACTATTGTGAAATCAGTTTTTTCCTATAGCAGAACAGGAATTGTTCAATGGTATCTTTCCAAGCATATGCTCCCTCCCCAATCTAGGGCTCTCTACAGTTAATGGGCAGACCTAAGCAAAGAAAGAAAATGGCACAAATATATTATGATAGCAACTCTCATATATACCCATAAACTTTATGTTTTTATCTTTTGAAAAGCTTCTGCTGCTTAATAAGATTTAGCCTCTTACTTTTAATCTCATAGTGCAATGGCAAGGAAACCTCTAGTATTGCTCTGGCCTGTTACATGGTTGTCATGGCTACACAAGTAAAGTGCATTACTTCCTCTACTAAAAAAAGAGAAGATTCTGAAAGAGTGCCTTGTAGGATTTACTAGCTTTGTAGTATAGTTAGCTACTAAAGTCTTAAATAAGAACATGATTGAGGGTTTAAACTAATATGTAGAGAAGGAGAAGCATATCTATATATTTATCTTCATGGAAGTGTTAAACTCAGTCCCTGTTATTATTCTTACTTTATGAATAATAAAAAAAAGCCATTTGTATATTTGGTTCTTTTTATTACGATTCCCAAATATAAACTGACACAAACCTTTACAGTTCAATTCTCTTCTTGCAATACAGTAGTAACAACAGAACAGTTCTCTTACTGATGTTACAGTAGATTAGCAGATATTTCCTGACTGGTGAAAATATATTGATGACTAGAGAGAGAAAGGCTTGAATTAGCTAATCACTGATCAACTCTGATCAGTGTCCCTTAAATTTGGCAAATTTAAAATGTATGGATTTCTGCTGGAAAATTCTGGGAGTAGAAGTCCACACATCTTAATGTGGCCATGTTTAAGAAATACTGATTTAAATTATACAAAAGCGGGGGTGGGAATAACAGAATACAGTTTACATATGTTGTCCCTGGAGTAGATTCAGCAGGATTGTTATAAGGAAAATAGGAGGAGAAAAGTGTGTTGGATATGTATGCCACCTAGAGTTATTTATAAAAACAATAAGGTGGAATACAAACAAACAAATAACATGCATTTCTTTGCAGTTACAGATCTACTAATTCCTATTGAAGTTGATGCAGCCTTCCATCCTTCTAAAGTGGGTAAAATCAGGACCCAAATTGTTGGGGGTAATATGCTGATTCTGTAAACTGTTTAGAGAGGGCTGTAAAGCACTATAAAGCCGTATATAAGTCTAAGTGCTATTGCTATCAAGTAATAGCATAATTTTTAATCTATCAATTATATGCAAAGGTCTACAAGCAAAGTTTCAAATCTTTAAAACTTGATTGTGAGCTTCTCAAAGCCCAATCTGAGCAAAGTGGGAATGCCTTCTGATGGTCTCCATAAAACCTCTTTCCCTTTAGAACAGCTTGCCTCACAGAGCAAGGATTGCTTTGTAAGGCCTTCAAGCAATGATTGTTTTGATAGAATTATTTATTCAATTTTTCTTATTAATAATGTTACATTTATATACTATATGTTGGACTGTTACATCCTTTTTTCTTTTGTTTCTCTTTGAGTTTGTTTTCTTTGCCAGGGTTGTTGTTTTGTCTTGTGATTTTTTGGGGATAATTTTTGTTGGTTCTTAAATGCTTTTAATAATTGTCAACTGCCCAGAGTCACTGAGAGTTTTATATTAAATATAAATGTAATAAATTACTGTTGTAATTGTACTATTTTTATATACACAAGAATATGAAATGCCAGTTCTTTAGCTGGGATTGGTCTTAATTCACAATGAGTTCTAAGGAATCTAAGATGTCATAATCACATAATGCATCTGCATAGCATTGCGAGGATCCAAATAATGTGGCCTTTTGTTATTATTCCTAACCAAAAAAGTATACTTTCTAATATTTGTTCTCTGTTTCCAATATTTTCCTTACATCATTTTCTTTTTCTTCAAAAAATTGATAATTTAAATGTAGATTGCAGAAAGTGTGGCTTATAAAAGTAATAATGGTAATAATAAAATTTAATAGCTAAACTATAATAACTATAATAACTGTAATAATACATATTGTTCTTTGATTATAGTTTCAAAATTTTAAATACTTTAAAGCAGCCTATCATTGACCTTCCATTTCTCTCATATCTATGATATTTGTCAGGTTTCATCCTTCTAAAAATGTGTTGTGCTTTCAAATTTCATCTATTAAAAAGTAGAAAAGTTGTATCTTTTTAAAATTGTAATCATTAAAGGCACAAAAGATCACTCTGAGTTTAATCAGGCAGCTTTATAGTTAATTTAACTTTTAAGTATTTTTAAAGAACTGTGATCCAGATAGACCTGGTATAGCACCTTACTAACAAATCAGTATCAGTGTTATTCCTAAGCAAAAAAACAACTGTTCAAATTGGACTGAACTTGCAATGGTGTATATGAGTGTGTACACCTGCAGAATACTAAAATTTTAATTCTGCTGCTCATATCCAATATCAACCACATTCAGTGGCAGCCATGTTTCCGATTCCATATGGAATTCAATGCTAACCTAGGCTCTGCTGCATGTCTAAAGTTCTAATACAGTTACATGAAATACATATTCTTGAACTTTGACTATGTATTCAGGCCTGTGTTTAGCTTAATAATTATTTTGCCCAATCCATAATAATCAATTCACAAAGAACATTCATATTAAACTTGAAGTTTTGCTACAATGTAAAATTTACTTAAACTGAAGTGAAATTATTTCTAAATTTATGATGTTTATGTTAAGGGCTGTCTGTTACACAGACTTTTGAAATGGAACTTTAAAGAATCATGGTTCACAATTTATGCTTTAAACTTAATTTAGGTACACATTTATTCTTATTTCAAGGCGGAAGCTGATGGTACTAACCAGAGTATGGTTTAGGAAACGTGCTTGTTGCCATAAAATTTTTCTCAGCCGTATTGATGACCCTTCCTGGTTAATTCTTGTTTCCATCAGCTGAACATCTCTTGAAATTTCTTGTACCCTTTTAATATGTATCAAAACATTTGTGGGATTGTTCAAGTAAGAACCTGCTGGCAGAGATTAAAACATCCAAGTTTTAATACTTTTATATTATACAAATACTTTTGTATTTGTTTTTATTTGTATGCCTCCTTTATTATTTTTATAAATAACTCAGGGCTCAAGTTTATAACTCAGCTTTAAAAGAAAAATAGGTTACTTGAAGCCTCCAAAATGTCTTTTCTGCAGTCCCAAAAGGCTTAAGTTGTGAGGTTTCCAAAATTTTTGAGACAAATAGCATACTAAAAATATGTAAGAACTAGAATAAGTTTAGTATGGTTTAAAAAGCAACCATCCAAATCTCTAACAACTAACTCTTAAAAACTGAAAATCTGGACTAGTTCTTGATTTCAGTTCCTGGGTGCTGATGATATGGCAGGCGGAGTGTGATGTGCTATTTCTGAAACCATTACACCTTCTATGAACATTTATATAAATAAAAACAAATGTAATAACTTATTTCCTTGTCACTAAAATCAGTTATCGCTATTTTATTCCTTAAAATTTATTACAATGAATAAAAGCAGCCTAATTACAGCTCTGTGTTCATAAGGGAATTATTTCCATTTTTTTTTCTGCAGACATAGAGGTTTCTATTTTTATTTTTTCTTTGCATTCTTTAGTTTCTGAAAACCTGTCCTAGAAGACTGGGGATCCTCAACTATCATATATAAAGGATTACTATAAAACAGGGTGTGAATGTAAGTACCATATATATAAACACAGGAACAATTTAAATTCTAAGCTATGTGGAATGATCTCTATCTGACTATATATTTATCTTTGACACATTCAATGTATGAACAATCAGAATATCACTTCAGACCCTATATTTGGTGACAACTAAAATATTAAACATGCTCTTTATATTTAAATGAAAGTGGTATTTCAATTTGATAAGATATGTCTAATTTGGTCAAAAATGTGCCACTCCAAATCAATATTTTTACAAAATTGCTTTAAAAACTCTATGTTCAATGTACTGCCAGTTATTCGACTACAAAGGCATTTTTTAAAATATGCAGTTTTTCTTTTGCTCTGTGTTTTAAACTGCTGCCTTCAAAATCCGTGCCTTCAGTGTGGAGAGAGTTAATTTAAATTTGATAACAAATGGGCCTGCTTTTGAAATGAGTGTAGCCTGGCAACTTCCACTGAGAACCTGTCATTGGGCCTCAATTATGTATGCAGCTTCTTTGAGAAATAGTTTCACACATCTGACCCAAGGAGCATAATGTTGTTGCCCAAGATTTTTTTTTTAAAGTGTATTCAGGCAGAGTTTCATTTCTGGACATTCTTTTTATAAGCCACTGTCTAGGTCTGCTCCCAGAAGAAACATATATGCATGAAATACTGATATAACAATTTTAATATTGTAATTGAAATATTTCTTTTTCTTCTTTGCTTTTGCACTGAGTCGTTTCTTCCTTTCTTCTAGTTTTTCCCTTATAACTAATGATTCAGCTGACCTAATCTGTGTATGTATGTTTACATACATAACACACACACCCTCCCGGCACATGCACATCCCAGTATTTAAACGCTACTTTCAGGGTCTCCTTATCAAAGCAATAGTGTGAAACCAGATAGACAGTCAAAGGGTTAACCCCAACACCATTTCATTTTTTTTTCAAAATGGCTGCTTTGTCTGTGTGCATACACCAATAGCAAATGTCCTTCTGTTATTGTACAGCCAATTTCATGTGTCAACTATTCATATGCTAATACCAGTACAGTTTCTCACTCCCCCCCCCCCACTTCCACAGATAAATTGTAAAGATTCTTACAGACAGTGAGACTTGGGAATAAACAGCTTTTTATTTCTGAAGTGATAAATTAGGTTTTATTCAAACAACAAGCAACACACGCAGCTGACCAGTATTGTTTCTATTCATCGTTACTTTGCCTCCTGGATTTTTTTTATTCAGGCTTGGAGCAGTTGGAAAATATTTAGCAGATACAGTTTGAGTTTATTTAAGAGGCTTCAATGAATTTATTTGTTTTTGTTTTCGGATGTACAAATCACATTTTTCCAGCATTAGTATAAGTCAAATAAGTAAAGTCTATTACTCCTACATTAATCATTCATTTTTACATTTTAAAATAA